CGGCCGTACAGCACGCTGGACTTGTGATCCTGTGGTCCTGGGTTCGATCCCAGGCGCCGGCGAGAAACAATGGGCAAAGTTTCTTTCACCCTATGCCCCTGTTACCTAGCAGTAAATTAGGTACCTGGGTGTTAGTCAGCTGTCACGGGCTGCTTCCTGGGGGTGGAGGCCTGGTCGAGGACCGGGCCGCGGGGACACTAAAAGCCCCGAAATCATCTCAAGATAACCTCTCAAGAAGATAACAAGACTCCAAGAGAAAATAATTAACTATGCTTCGAGGGCATAGTTAATTTTTTTAACAATTTTTTAAATAATTAACTAAGCCTGTGTGACTATAGGAGCCCTTGGAAAGGATACAAGACAGACTAAGAACAGGAATAAGGAAGAGGGGGGGGGGGGAGAAAGGAATTTGAAGGCAATTATCAGGGGAAAGCGCTAAGCCAGTTTAACAAACCTTTAAACTAGCAATTGAGGAGTTAAAAGGATTTGGAGTGGTAGTTGATGGGTAGATTACGGGGAGGGTAGATTACGGGGAGGGTAGATTGACGAGGAGGATAGATTACGGGGAGGTTAGATTGACGAGGAGGGTAGATTACGGGGAGGGTAGATTATGGGGAGGGTAGATTACGGGGAGGGTAGATTGACGAGGAGGGTAGATTATGGGGAGGGTAGATTACGAGGAGGGGTAGATTACGGGGAGGGTAGATTGACGAGGAGGGTAGATTATGGGGAGGGTAGATTGACGTGGAGGGTAGATTACGAGGAGGGTAGATTACGAGGAGGGTAGATTACGGGGAGGGTAGATTACGGGGAGGGTAGATTACGGGGAGGGTAGATTACGAGGAGGGTAGATTATAAAAAGGTAGATTACAGGAGAGCCTCTTATGTAGAGTGGATTAACAAAATAGCAATATAGTAATTATCTTAATTTGAAAAGGCAGATATCGTTACCAATATGATATCTAACCAGTCGTTACTGTAGAGTGTGATAACAGGGAGTAATTAGACGCCAAGGGTCGTTACAGGTAGGCTATATGAGGTAGGATAAGCCGATAATCTGCGGAGTACTGCGACGTACTCGAACTGTCGTTAACAGGGGGAATTATATAACAAGGCTCGATATCAGTACCTGTAAAAAGAGAGAGAGAGATAGCTCGTGATAGCCTCTCTCTCTCTCTCTCTCTCTCTCTCTCTCTCTCTCTCTCTCTCTCTCTCTCTCTCTCTCTCTCTCTCTCTCTCTCTCTCTCTCTCTCTCTCTCTCTCTTTCGATGTCGGTAATGATATCATAAAGTAGTAACTAGTTCCGGGATATCATCAGGCATTGATGGAACCAATGGCGAAACATCTACATCTTTCCTCAATCATGGCGGCTTTGTTTACATTTATTCAATAGTTTACGAGACTTGTAAACTTTACAATCTCCAAGATTGTTGTAAATAGCCTCGTAGTGCTTCCCACCTCGTAAATTATATATGTAAACATACGTAAACACATATGTAAACACATATGTAAACACATATGTAAACACATATGTAAACACATATGTAAACACATATGTAAACACATATGTAAACACATATGTAAACACATATGTAAATACATATGTAAACAAAGAATATGTAAACTAGGCCGCCATGTTTGAAGAAAGATGGACAGGGGATCGATGAATCCAGACTGTCTTGATATCATTATTGATATCAGCACTCATCCAGGATATCAACACAACCCAGGATATCAACACTCATCCAGGATATCAACACTCAACCCAGGATATCAACACTCAACCCAGGATATCAACACTCATCCAGGATATCAACACTCAACCCAGGATATCAACACTCATCCCAGGATGAGATACCTAAGGCCGGACAGCCCACGGCGATAACATGTGATAACAGAATTTAAACAAATGCTATCTACCAACCTGCATAGCAAGTGACCCTGTGTATAGCAACTATAGCCGCCTCACTTGATATAGAATCTATAGCACCTACCAAGAGATGGAAGTATAGCATATATAGCAACTCACCTTATATCCAAGGGCAGTATATAGCATATAGGAACCCACCTGATATCCAAAGGCAGTATATAGCATATAGGAACTCTTATATAGCATATAGGAACTCAACTGATATCCTAGAACAGTATATAGCATATAGGAACTCACCTGATATCCAAGGACAGTATATAGCATATAGGAACTCAACTGATATCCTAGAACAGTATACAGCATATAGCAACTCACCTGATATCCAAGGGCAGTATATAGCATATAGGAACCCACCTGATATCCAAAGGCAGTATATAGCATATAGGAACTCTTATATAGCATATAGGAACTCAACTGATATCCTAGAACAGTATATAGCATATAGCAACTCACCTGATATCCAAGGGCAGTATATAGCATATAGGAACTCAACTGATATCCTAGAACAGTATACAGCATATAGGAACTCACCTGATATCCAAGGACAGTATATAGCATATAGGAACTCACCTGATATATAAGCATCGTCTTCGTCTTGTCTGTCTGACGAGGAGTCTTGAAGGTCATCGTCCGTGGTTCGTCCAGTAAACTTGTGGGGGTCCAGGATATCCATGACTGAGAAGGGGGTGACCCGGGGGGCGGTGTTCCCCTCGTCTCTCATCTCGTCCTCTTCGTCATCGTTTCGTGCGAGGTCTTGTCTCGTCTTGGCCTCTTCTGTCGTATTTCTTGGTTCGGGTGTGGCGTCTCGCTGGGATGTGGTGTCTAGGTGGGCTTCGTCCTGTGGTGGGGGTCTGGTGGGGTGGGGGGTGGGGGGCTGGAGGGGGGCTAGGGGAGAAGGGGGGGTTGTAATTGGCGGGGTTAACAACCCGTTGTGGTGGTGATTTCGGGCGAACAGCGAATGATTGTGTTTGAGTTTGTCGTTCTGAACGGCCAGGTGCTGGGCCAGGTTATTGGTAAGGAGCTGGTGAAGTTCGGCCTTACCCGGCAGGTCAAAGGTCGTTAGGCATTTCAACGTAGAGGGGATCTTCAGAACCGGCCGCGGGCGCCCGGCGGGCTCCGACAAGCCGCCGCCGCCGCCGGCCGCTGTTCGGTTGTTACCGGAAGACAGGGCGATCAGGGGCGTTGGATCCGGGAGATCAGAACGCGGCGACGAGGGCTCTTGGGTCTCCATAGGCTCCTCGTACTCTAAACGAGGCAGTTTATGGCGGCGGTGATCGTCGCACGAATTGGGACGCTTAACCGGCCCTTCGTTCGGCCGGTTTTTCATCGTCTTTTGCGCTCTCGAGCGAGAAAAAGGATTATTTCTGATCACTGATCTCTCGCTAATGTTCTGAGTGTCATACTGAACGGCACACTAAGCGAGGGGCAGCGTGGTAGCGGCGTGGCTCCCGCCTTCTGATCGTCCACACACACGGTACTGACTCCTCTCCTATAACTCAACGTCTGAATTCCTTTTCCTCCAGGCATCTTGACGTCTCCCTTAGAGTGCATCTTCCTCTCCTGCGGCTGTAACCCGCGCGCCTATTGGCCCTCCCGCGCCGCTCAATTTAGCCATCTAGCCGGCCATTGGTTCCCGCCCGCGGGACTCGCTATAAACAAACCGCAAGGGGCGGGGCGAGATGAAAGCCATGCGGGGATTGGCTGCCGGCGGCTAGTGGGAGGAGCCGCCGGGGGGGATGGGGCGGGGCCTGGCGACATCATTAGGCGTGATAAACGCTGACAGAACCGCTCCCACGAGACACCGCCGAACCAGCGACAGAAATTGACCACGCCAAGATAAAACTTGACGCTAACAGGGGAATTGGTCCAATATGGGGCCATAGTTAACAGTGGCAATTACTGCCTGGAGCGGTGGCTTGGGGGGGGGGGGGAAAGAGAGGGATAGAAGGAGTATCTAGAAGGAAAAGGAAGGAGGGTAATACGAGGCATCAGGGTGAAAGAAGGAACCACGAGGAAGAGGAGGATGAAAGGGAAGAGGAGAAGAGGCACCAAAAAATGAAAAGGACCCAAAAAAAAAAAGGTGTTTGGGGCGGGGTCCAGCGAAACCTGTTTATCTTTCAGGCTCATTTTGTTCTAGAGGTCGCAAGGGGAATGAAAGATTAATTAGGTGGAAGTTATTTTCAAGGGGAGAGGGGGGGGTGAGAGAGAAGGAGAGAGGAGACGGTAGAGATAGTTAGAAGTAATTAAGGCGTCTTGAGTTAAGGCTGTGTGTAGAATGTCTTAAATAAAACTAGTTAACATCATACACGAGATGCTGGGAGGGTTGAGGGGGGGTAGGGGATTGAGAGAGGGGGAGAGGGAGAGAGAGAGAGAGACTAAGGGGAGAGAGGGAGACTAAGAGAAGAGAGAAAAAAGAGAGAGAGAGAGAGAGAGAGAGAGAGAGAGAGAGAGAGAGAGAGACTAAGGGGAGAGAGAGAGAGGGAGAGAGAGACTAAGGGGAGAGAGGGAGAGAGAGAGACTAAGGGGAGAGAGAGAGGGAGAGAGACAGACTAAAGGGAGAGAGGGAGAGAGAGAGAGAGACTAAGGGGAGAGAGAGAGAGAGACTAAGGGGAGAGAGAGACACTAAGGAGAGAGAGAGAGAGAGAGACACGGAGCGAGATGATGATGAATTGCTTCTGAGAGGGTTCTCTCCTGGTCTCCTGGGGGGGGAGGAGGGGGGGAGAGAGAGAGGGGGAGAGGGAGGGTAGAGAGAGAGAGAGAGAGAGAGAGAGAGAGAGAGAGAGAGAGAGAGAGAGAGAGAGAGAGAGAGAGAGAGACTAAGGGGAGAGAGACTAAGGGGAGAGAGACAGAGAGATGCCAAAAGTTTATATCAAGTTATCTCTTTCTTTGGGAAATCACGGCGCCCGAATTAACCCCTTTGGCACAGGGGGAATTTTCTTATTCGGCCGCATGGTTCCCATTATCGAGGTCCCCCCCCCCTCCCCCAGTACCCCAGAACAGTTGCCTAACTCCCAGGTACCTATTTTTACGGCTAGGGTGAACAGAGGCATCAGGTGAAAGGCATCGGTGCCCAAACGTCTCAGGAATTGTACCCCCTGGATTATTCGGTCATAAACAGTGTAGATCCTTCAGGATATCCTAATAGAGACTATAACCTGTATAGGCTTCACAACCGGTTGATATCCTCTTCCACGATATCAACAAGATATCCTAATTCTACCTCGGTATTTCCATCAATTCCCGTTCAATCAAATTATAATTTCAACTCCTGAATCAACTCGGGGTGCAGAAGGCAGGGTTGGTAGCCCCGTGAATGGTGGTGGTGGTGGTGGTTATCTTGAGGTTATCTTGAGATGATTTCGGGGCTTTAGTGTCCCCGCGGCCCGGTCTTCGACCAGGCCTCCACCCCCAGGAAGCAGCCCGTGACAGCTGACAAACTCCCAGGTACCTATTTACTGCTAGGTAACAGGGGCATTCAGGGCGAAAGAAACTTTGCCCATTTGTTTCTGCCTCGTGCGGGAATCGAACCCGCGCCACAGAATTACGAGTCCTGCGCGCTATGGTGTGGTAGTGTGGTGGTGGTAATAGTGGTAGTGGTGGTAGTGGTGTTAAAAAGTCTGATCAGATTCTGAATGTAATCTCCCGTCTGATCTCTTGTATTTCAAATCCTCTTCGAGGTACATTTATTGACCTTCTTCAGTTCCTGCCTTATAGAGTCTATCACAGAATCCTTTGTAGAAATATATTGTAGAACTTTGTTACAGAACCTCTGGCAGAACCTTGTTATAGAACTTTTGACAAGCTTGTTATAGTGCTTCTGATAGAACCTTGTTCTGGATCCTCTGATAAGCTTGTAGAACCTTTTATGGAACCTTTTAGAACCTATAGCAGAAGCTATAGGTTCTAAAAGGTTTAGAACATGGTCAAAAGAATTGCAACCGGCTAAATCATCTTGATTTATTGGTTGAACCTATAGCTTCTGCTATAGGTTCTAAAAGGTTCTATAGCGTGTAGTAGAACCTCTCTCCGATGTTTTTTTGTTGTTTCTTGATAGTAGAACTTCTTATAGAACCAAGTTGTAAAACCCTTTCACGGAAGCTTATTGTAGAACCTCATACTGAACTTTTGTATAATCTCTCAGGGAACCTTTTTGTTGAACCTCTCTTGGAATCTTTTTATAGAACCTTTTGCTGAACCTCCAACAGAACATTTGACTTAATCTCACACAGAAACTTTTGTAGAGCTTCCTGAAGACTCTGTTGTAGAACTCTACCACAGAGCCCTAATATTTATAGAGCCTCAGATAGAACCCTGTACACAATCTCCCACAGAATCTGTCACCTAATCTCCGCTCTAAATTTCCCCAACAGAATTTCGAGAAATTCAGAATTACCCCAAAAATTGGAAACACTTCTCAGAAATCTGACTTAAATATTTATAGAATTCTATGGCATCGTCTTCCTCAATATGTGTAAAAATTACACACAGAAATCACAATAGCCTGATGCATCAAATGAACAAATCCACAAGGGCCGTGCCGAGGATTCGAACCTACGTCTGAGGGCATCCCAGACGCTGCTTTAATCGACTGAGCTACGACATGGTCAAAGGAATTGCAACCGGCTAAATCATCTTGATTTATTGATTGATCCGATGGTAAATTAAGATGATTTCCCCCGGTTGTAATTCTTTTACCATGTCGTAGCTCAGTCGATTAAGGCAGCGTCTGGGATGACACGATATCTGAGGCCTAATATAGTACATATGTGTGCTATACTAGGCACACATATGTACATATGTGTGCTATACTAGGCACACATATGTACATATGTGTGCTATACTAGGCCTAGGAATATTTAATTTAGTTTTTTAGCTTCATTTTTTCCGACTCTATGAAGTGAATAGTACAAAGGTCTACTATCTAATGGCTTAGTACGTCAATGTTTGTACTATAGTGAAGATAGTTACTAAAACTACTGTGTAAATAGGAGAATGGGTTTGGTACTCTGTGCCGCCGGTCGGCCGAGCGGACAGCACGCTGGACTTGTGATCCTGTGGTCCCGGGGTCGATCCCAGGCGCCGGCGAGAAACAATGGGCAGAGTTTCTTTCACCCTATGCCCCTGTTACCTAGCAGTAAAATAGGTACCTGGGTGTTAGTCAGCTGTCACGGGCTGCTTCCTGGGGGTGGAGGCCTGGTCGAGGACCGGGCCGCGGGGACACTAAAACCCCGAAATCATCTCAAGATAACCTCAAGATAAGAGGGCCACATTCACGAAGCAGTTACGCAAGCACTTACGAACCTGTACATCTTTTCTCAATCTTTGGCGGCTTTGTTTACAATTATTAAACAGTTAATGAGCTCCGAAGCACCAGGAGGCTGTTTATAACAATAACAACAGTTGATTGGCAAGTTTTCATGCTTGTAAACTGTTTAATAAATGTAACCAAAGCCGTCAAAGATTGAGGAAAGATGAACACGTTCGTAAGTACTTGCGTAACTGCTTCGTGAATCTGGGTATTAGATCCCGCCTTTCGAGCAATCGGTTGTTTACAGCAATGACCATGGTCCTATTTCCCTATCATACCATGTGTGTGTAATTACCTAAGTGTAATTACCTAAATGTAGTTACAGGATGAGAGCTACGCTCGTGGTGTCCCGTCTTCCTAGCACTCTTTGTCATATAACGCCGTGTGTGTGTACTTACCTAATTGTACTTACCTAATTGTGCTTGCGGGGGTTGAGCTCTGGCTCTTTGGTCCCGCCTCTCAACCGTCAATCAACTGGTGTACAGATTCCTGAGC